TCCTTTGTTAGCATTGCTTCTATTGTCACATACAGTAAAACTTACAGCTGTTTCGAGGGAAGCTGAGAACATTACTTTCTGAATCCGACTGTAAACTTTGTTTAATTATAAATCCTAGAAAAAGGAAGAGAAAACTTTTTTATGTTTCTTCCTTCTTAGCAGCTGGATTTCAGTCACCAGGAAGTTTATTGACAACATTAAAATATGAACAAAATCCATATTGGAGTTACCATTCCTGAAGAGACTATCCACAGCTACCACAGAAATATGGTAAAAAGCCCATTTAAGCTGAGCCACCTTTAAAGTGCCTGCAAAGTGCCTTTGTGTAAATATTGAACTTGTTCACAGTTTGGATTTCACATATGGATCAATATTGAAGAAATCTGGAGTTTAATCTCATTTTCCTTTGTCTTGTCTTCTTGGCAAATGGTGCTCTAGACTGGCTGTGGGGCATCTCCAGTGAAATCAAAAGATATGAGGATTTAGATGGATCTTCTTTTTTTACTGTGTGGGATTTCTATGTAATTACATTTTAGAAAAGGTAATTGACTCTCTGTTTATCCACGCAATTCTCTATTTTCACACACATCCTTCTGAAATACTGAGCTAAAAGGATTGTTTTTGGATGTAAAATAGTTGCATCTAACCACTTTCATTTCATTTCCCTCATTTTGAAGACACAAAGTCAACATAAATACAAATTTGCTGACAGTTTCTGAACATTTAAACAGGAGACGTGGATAGATGAAAACTGTCTTGAAATAAAGGACTCTAGTGATTATATAGTTGTTCACATACTTCTGGCTTTATGTTTATGTATCCCAAAGCTTTCCCCTTAAAATGAACCCCTATACAATGCAATTTTGTCATTTTTTACATTCAGACGTTCATTGATGCTCCATCAGTCGGGGCCTTTGGTTTGAAAACCACAGCAACATTCTGTAATTGGCAAAACATTAATACACTGGGGTAAAAAATTAAAGTAGCAAAACATTAGATGAAGAAGATTTGCCATCTGTGTCATCCTTTTCCTCATCTGACGTTTAGTTGCAATTTTGAGTTAGAAAACTTTAAAACTATTGGATGCATAAAACTGCCATAAAACTTTTAAACAGCAGTTTTTGGTTCCCAGAGGATGAACTAGTCCCTTTAATTTTTACTTTACTAAATCATTTGCAACACAAATGATTTAGTGTCAAGTTACTTGAAACTACTGGATGGATGAAATCCTGCTGATGTTAATGTCTCTCTTAAGCTAAATTATATTACCAAAACAACATTTTAATATAAGACTAACATTCGCCATTATAAGTTTTACACTGCAAACTACATACAAAACTAAGATAGTGAATATGATAAACATTACAGCTGCTAAGCATTATATTCAAAGCATCAGCATGTTGAAGTGCAGCTTTGTAGAATTATTAGAATGGCTGGAAGTGTTTCATTTTTAGTCTATAGCTGAAGAGAATTATCTCACATTCACTGCCTTTAAGCTAAATGGTGCCAATTTAGAGGTCTCAAAAGCTCAGGGCTCCTGTGTAAGGCAACAGAACAACTCAAGAACAATTTGACCCAGAGCGCCACAGGGTAATAATAATAATAATAATGGATTGGATTTATATAGCGCTTTTCAAGGCACCCAAAGCGCTTTACAATGCCACTATTCATTCACTCTCGCAGTCACACACTGGTGGAAGCAAGCTGCAGTTGTAGCCACAGCTGCCCTGGGGCAGACTGACAGAAGCGAGGCTGCCATATCGCGCCATCGGCCCCTCTGGCCAACACCAGTAGGCGGTAGTGTAAAGTGTCTTGCCCAAGGACACAACGACCAGGACAGAGAGCCCAGGGATCGAACCGGTGACCTTCCGGTTACAGATACACTTCCCAACCCCTTGAGCCACGGTCGCCCTGTTGAATCCATTTTAACCAAGAGTTTATCAATAAGTCGCTCTCAAGAATCCGGTAAATAATGCATCAAAGACAAATGTTGCTTAAGATTCACATCCATCTGAGGGATTAGATCAGCAGGTCCAGACTTCAAATGGCAGAAACAAATCAAGGGCTCGCTGACATGTTTTGAGGTTGGTTATTGATTGTTGCTGGCTGCAGCTTAGGGGCACCTTGGGTCACTCTGACTGCAGACCTTTGAGCCGCTCTGGATCTCCAGTGAAAAGTGAAGCTTCTGGGCAGCTTTTCCCTCAGCAGTGCTCAGCTGTTTGTTTTTTTTATTTTCATAAACCGTATTTATTTTGGTTATCAGGCCAAATGACGATTCATCACATCATAAGCAGAAAAGCTACTTTTTTTAAGTGCTCTGTTTTTTCCAGGTGGAGGGCCACTTGGTTCAGAAATGAATCCCATCATACCTTGCTCTTCTCCTGCATAATGCACTTCAGGGGGGACAGCAGCATTAAGCATTTGTCTTGTTAATAGTGGCATTAAATTTAAAGTCGTAGTAAAAAGAAAACTTATTCGAGTGTAATATCAGAACCTAAATTTTTTTTAGCCGGTTCTAAAATGATTTAAATACAACCTAATGCAAACAACAGCACAATGACATATTACGCCATGTTAATATTAATTTAAGAAGAACTGAGGGAAAACGCAGAAGCAGACAAGTGAAAAACTTCGAAAGGACATAAAGGGTAAGTAGCAGAACCTACCTTCTAGATTGACTGACCATTAGTAATTATGAATGCCTCTAAAAAGTAGGTGT